TTAGCGTTTGATCAGCTTTATTTATAAAAAATGGTACATATATAAATATTCTTAGACATTTTTGCATTTTACAAGGCTGAGGATTCTCGTTGTGGGTTTTTTTGTGGGTTAGGGGATACCGGGTCTTTTGCTCCCTCCGGAGGAGAGGACCTCACCCCAGGACCTGCAGCTGCTGCCTTGGTCCCCATCGACACAGCGTTTTCGTTTGTCTTTAAAAATAATAATAAAAGGAATAATAATAATAAAAAAAAGCAGGAGGGAAAAGCAATGTCTCTAAGAGCCAATCACCTGATTCATTGGGAGTCCGGGGCTGAGCGAGAGGGGCGCAGCCGGGTAGGCGCCTCGTCCGGCCGTGTTGCCCAGCTCAGTCCATGTCCACCTCCTCGCCCTCGGGCGGGCTGGGTCCAGTCGCAGCGCCTGGCTCAGCGGCGCCGCAGGTGGCTGCCTCCCCGGCTGGGCTGGGGGCTCTGGGGTGCGGGCCTGGCGATGTTTCGAGGGGCGGGGGCGGCGGGGCCGCAGGGCAGACGGTCCCCGCGTCCGCGCAGTCCCCAGCACCGCTCTCGGCTGCCGCCGTTGCGAGGTCCCGGAAAGGCGCGGGAGCTGGTGGCCCGGGGGAGGCAACAGCCTCGGGGCTGCGACGGGCGAAGGCCGGATCGGCAGTGCTGCCGGGTCCGGGGAAGGCCCCGAAGCTGGCCTGTGCCGGTGGTGCGGGTGGCGCGGGAGGAGCGGGAGGCGCGTCCTTGGGCGCCAACTCCGGGCCCGCTCCGCCCTTGAGCGCGGCCTGTGGCACTAGGAAGCCAAGGGGCTGCGTGATGGGGTAGAGCAAGAAGTGGCCCTTGCCAATCAGGGTCCGAGGTGCACACGGCAGCCCCGGCGTGAAGTCCAGCCCCGCGGTGGCCGCGGCGTTGGCTGGGGTGGCTTTGCGGCGCGGTGGAGAGTCGGACAGCAAGCTCTCCACGCTGAACGGGCTAGCCTTAGGCAGGCCCGCGGTGGCCGCCGCTCCGGGCCCGCACGCGACCGTGTCCTTGTCCGCAGGGCGGCCTAGCCGCGACTGCGGGCCGGCCCCACTTCTTTGGCTCGGGTAGAAGGCGGGATCGCAGGTGCCAGGTGCGGGTGGCTCGCCGGGAGGCACAGGAGCAGAACCCGCGACGCTGGAGCCGTGGTGAGCTCCAGGGCCCTTGGCCGCGGCGGTAGGCGGCGGCGGCTCGGGTGGCTCTGGGGACAGACCTCCGCCGCCGCTGTCGCTGTCGGAGCTGGGCGCGCTGTGCAGGGACAGGCCACCTGGCGAGTGCAGGTGGCGGTTCTGACTCTTGAGCAGTTTTTTCTCGTGTTTGCGCTTCTTCTTCTCCATCTTCTCCAGTTCTTTGCGAGCGATCTCCTCCGGGTCCATGGGCTCCCCGCTGCACGTAGTGGGATGTGAGTTGTGCGCCGGCCGGCCCGGGCCCTTCTTGGTGTTCTCTTTCTTCCTCCACTTGGCCCGGCGGTTTTGGAACCAGACCTAGAACAGCCGGACAAGGAGGGGAGGGGGAGGCACAGTCAGGCTGGCTAGCGGCCGCGGAGGCTGCGGGCCTCCCACGCACGCCCCCGGGCAGGCCTGAGAGACCTCGGCTCCAGCAGGAACAGCCGGAGCCAGGGCACGCTCTCTGCCGGCCCTTGTATGCTGATACTCGGGTTGCAGCTTCGGGCCAGCATCTCATCCACCCGGAAGGGGCGTAGATGGGGCCTCTTGGCCAGCTTCCCGCTCTGACTTCTCACCTCGTGCCCTAGGGAGCTGCCCCTTCCTCAGGCAAGGCCGGTGCGGCCCGTGACCCCGCGATGTCGAGAGTTCCTGGTCGGGAGGCAGCGAGCGAGCAGGGCCCCGATTTGCCCTCGCTGGTGTCTCACAGTTTTAAGGGGCCTGGCCTGGTGATGAGCAGGTACGGGCCGTGCCTTCCACACCTGTCTTCGGCCCCCACGAGACTCTCAAAGCCCACATTTCAGGGTCTCCCTTGAAGGGAAATCTGGATACTTCTTCCTCAGGAAGGGCCTGTGAAGCCGAACTTGGATGGACCTTCAGTAGCCCACCTCCCCAGCACACAGCCTTCTTTATGAAGGGCTGTAGGCCAAGGGACCAACCGAGCCTTTCCGAAGTAGTCCGGGTTGGCCTGGCCTGAGGTGCTGCTACCAGGCGGGCAAGCAGGCCCGAGGTTGGCCATGAGGCCCCCTGGGAGAGCGGAGAGGCTCTGGACTCCTTCATGCTCTCTGCAGGCCTTGTCCGGGGACAGCCAGGGAGGATTGAAAGAGGACAAGAGCTCCCAAGACCACCACTCCCCAGACCGACCAGCCAGAGCCCTGGGCGGGGAGACGATCCCCTGCAGAAAGTGACAATTTAAATGCTTTGTTGTGGCCATATAAAGTTGGCACGATTACACACCAGATCGGTTCGAAGGGAACCTGGTGGGCACCAAACCCTGAGACGCTATAACTGCTTTCTCTTTTCTTTTTCAAAACTTTTGTGGTGTGTGTGTGTGTGTGTGTGTGTGTGTGTGTGTGTGTGCAAATTCCAGGCTGTCTCACCACCGGTAATTACTATCATATTATAGGGGAAATGAACAGATTCGGACTTCACTTAAGCCACAGAACGAATTGGATAAAGGGATTTCTAAACGGAAGAGGCCAGGCCGCAGCCCAAACCATTTCAGGCAAAGCCATGGATGCTAAACGGGTATTTTGCCAGCGTATTCTCCCACCCTATGCACCCACCATGACACAGGCCCCAAAGCTTTCTGGGCTCTAGGAAAGCATCTAATTATGCAGACATTATTCTGGAATTTTATTACACCGACTTGACTCTGTATTAAACAAACAAACAAACAAAAATACTGCCTCCCGGCTCCGCATGAAATCAAATAACGAAGAGGGTCGGGAAGCAAGGGATGTAACGGGGTAGGGCATTAAATTTAGACACCTTTAAAAAAAATCTCCCCTCTTTTCCAATGTGTAAACCGCTTAAGTTTCCACCTCCCCTCCCTCGAACGTTTCCCCCCGTGTCTGCAAGACGGTGGATGGATAAATATGTGTTTCTATCTTAATAGTTCACAAGCCAGAGGTAAACAAACAGTCTGCTTCGGGGCTGGGAGAAAGCCTCCGCTGAGAGCGCCCAGGCCCCGGCCCACTTGGTCCCCTCCTGGAGGGCTCTTTCGAGCCTCCACAGCCTTGGCCCTCTCTAGACAGTGCGCCGGGCCGCAGCCAACCCAAACCTGCCTTCCCGGATCGCACGCAGTCACTGCAGTGGCTACTGGGGCACCGCCAGGAGCTCTCCCAAATCACCCTGGCATTCTCGAGTTACTCACCTCCAGATGGGCGAAGGGGTTCGGCCCAAACAGTCCCCACCCCGGCCAGCAGCGCAGAGCCTGGAACCACCTCCCGCCACTTAGAACAAAGGCAGCCCTGCCTCACCGCTCTCTGCATGCCCAGTGCCCAGTGCAGGACAGCTGACTCCCCCGGGCAACACCCGGTCTTTACCTGAACTCGAGACTCGACCAGGTCCAGGCGCAGCGCCAGCGCCTCGCGCATGAACACGTCCGGGTAGTGGCTCTCATTGAACGCCTTCTCCAGCTCCTCCAGCTGCCAGCCGGTGAAGTTGGTGCGGGTGCGTCTCCGTTTGCAGCCGGGGCTCTCCTTGTCTGGATCCCCCGAGTCTGCGGGCACGCACAGGACGCTGCAAAGCTCAGTCTCCCGCTAGCTGCTTGCCTCACTTGCACCCGACTCGGGTGCGAGGCTCACGGTGGAGCCGGTAGCTACTCCCCGACGGCTCGGTGCTCCCCCTCCCCGCGGCCCCCCGCTGTGTTCCCCCGTGTCCCCGCCTCCAGCCTACCTGCAAGCTTGAAGGGCTGGCTGTCCCCGGCCACCCCGCAGGCGGCGGGCAGCAGCGGTGTGGGGTTGACCACCGAGGCGGCGGCCGCAGCGCACGAGCCGCTGAGCAGGCCGTCGATGGAGAAGGGCACCGAGGCCGCGGCGGCGGCGGCGGCGGCCGACTGCAGCTGGTGGCCGGCCAGCTCGTACACGTGGTGGTGGCCCAGCGGGTAGGGGAAGCCCACCACGCCGCCCAGCGAGCCCCCGAACTGGGCATGCGGGTGCTCCAGGAGGCGACCGTCCATCATCTCGCGCGCGGGGCCGGCGGGGCGCGGGGGCGCGGACGGCGGCGGCGGGGACAGGGGCCCGGAGCCCTACACATGCTTCGGCCCGCGCTCCGCCGCTTTACTTTATCAACATCAAGCTCTCGATAATTAGCCGCGGCCCGGGGAATTTGGGACCAATAAGAAGCGCTAATCGGCTCTGACGTCAGAGGCGTGCTGGGTGCAAGGAAACGTTTTCCATATCGATTGCTAATTATACCTGACACGCACCTCCATAAACAGTATCAGGAGCTGTCACAACAAGACGGGGTGGGGAGGGAGGGGCACCGCCGCGCTCGGCCGGCCCGGGGCCCCCGGCGAGCCCCCCACTCCTGCCCCCGCCGCTCCCGCCCCTCGCCTCCTTCTAATAGATTTCCCTTTAAAACATTCGCAGGCGTGTTGTGGGGATTTTTCACCAGAAATGCTGTACTCTCTGAACCTTTAAAGTGATGTTGCTCCAATTACAGAGAGACATTGAGCGGCAAATAGACTGATCCAATAATGGGAGATTCATCATCCGCTCTTTCCGAAACTGTCACATTGAATTTAAAACTACAAGGGCTTCTCTACCAGCCGCCTCTCTCGGGCTGCGGGCGGCCGCGAGCCCAGGCAGCAGAGGGAGGAGGAGGGGAAGGAATGAGGAGGAGGAAGGCGAGAAGTGTCCCAACGAACTGGAAGATGGAGAGAGGAAGAGAAAGGAGGAGGAAGGACAGGCCCAGAAGGGGATACTGGAGAGGAGATGGGGGGCGGGAGAGAAAGGGGAGAAAGAGAGGAGGAGGAGGGAGAGGAGGGGAGGATGGAGAGAGGAGGGGAGGGGAGAAGAAAGGGGAGGAGAATAGAGGAGGAGGGAGAGGAAGGAGGAAGAAAAGGGGATGAGGGAGGAGTGGAGCAAGGAGAGAAGGGGAGGAAGGAGAGAAGAGGAGAAAAGAAGAGAGGAAATGGGGAGGAGGGAAGGGAGGACGAAGAGGGTGGATAAAGAGAATGGGGGAATGAAAAGGAGGTTGGAGAGAAGGGAAGGACGGAGGGGAAAGGGGGAGGATGGGAAGAGGAGGGGGGGAAGGGATGGTGGATAGATGGGAGGAGAGGAGAGGATGAAAAGGGGGAGGGAGGAGAGGGGTAAGGGGGAGGGAGAGGCCAGGGAGAGAACTTCCAAACAGTGGCTCCAGCCAAGCGCAGCCCCCACCTATAAGGAGTCTAACCTGACGCCCTCCTCCTTGATTGGCAGTTACCCCATCAGTACAGACAGGGTGGAGGCAGCTGGGGGCACCCTAACCCCACTTAACTCCCACCCCGATGGGTCCTGGACCCCAGCCCAGAAGAGGAGGGGGTGTGAAAGGAGGAAGGGAAAGGGGGTAGTGACCAATGGCCTACACCTCCCCTCAAAAAAAAAAAAAAATCTCCCTCCGAGTCAGCTCTGAAGAATGGGATGGGAGGTACTAACCCATCTATTATAATTAAATTATGTTCGCAGTGAGATGTCATCCCCTTCTCCACTGTAAAATATTGATAGACTCAAAACTAAATCATTAGGGGACACATTCTTAAATAAGGGGCAAGTGTGGACTGTGAGCAGGAGGTCGACACACCGGGATGGATGTGGATGTGGACGTATGCTTTGTGAAAGTCAAGTTTGTCACTGGAGAGACGGCTTTTTGCTGGCCCCAAATTCGTAGGCACGGTACTCGAACCCTCCCAGGCCATTCGCCCCAGGAAGGGGGCCCCTAAACAACACTGCCTCGGGGCACAGTGACAAATTGACTTTGGGTAAAAGTGACACAGGCCAGGCTGCTAAGCCCTAAGCTGGGGAAAGGTGGGACAGGCCAGAACGGCGAGTGCCAGTCCACTGGGGAGAGGTGCCCAGACCCGCTGGGCTGGAAGGGAGAGAAGCCGGCTACCCTCCAGGGGTGGTTCCCCAACCCTTGTGTCCTGGGCCTGGCCCCCAGCCTGGCTGCAGTCCGGCCCAGCTTCTCAGCGACAGTGGCGGATCTGCCAAGTTGGACTTAATTACTCTCCCCTCTGTCTCTGAGGGAGGAGGGACTGTGTAGAGCCGGGGACAAGCTTGGAAGGTGGGGGACCCCTCTCCCCGTTTCTAGTGGCACTAGGAGGGCGCTGCAAGGGTTAATCCCGAGGTCAAGGGCCAAGAGCACTACTTTTCGCTATAATTTAATTTCTTTCGCTATAAATACTACACGTAAACGCTGCCCATCCGGCTCGATTTTGCCCGTGGCCACCGCCGCCTGGTTTTCTGTCGCGCTCGCGATCTGGAATGCGCCCGGCGCGTGCTTCGGAATACAGAGCTGTGATCAATCCAGCCCGAGGGGAGGGCAGCGGAGGGGGCGGGTGCCGGCCCCGCTCCTCGCCCATCTCTCTTTATTATAATGAATTAATTCGACTTTATTTATCCCATTTTCTGGAGCTGACAGAATGTTAATTTGAGTTGAAATTTCGCTCGCCTCTCACTCTCTGACCCCTGGCCTTCAGATTGGCGTGTTGTAATAACCTGAATCTTTCAACAGAGGCCCTGATAATTGTTACCTTATTAGCATGCAAATTGTTTAATTAATATTATTATGAAGGAGCGAACAATCCGTCCGTCACTTGACCCCTTGAGTGAGTCCGCGCGCCGCAGCCGGCTCCACGCATCTCAATGCGACCATTTCAATCGCCCAGTGGCTTTTTTCCTTTTTTTTCTCCCCCTTTTTTTCCTTCTTGTGTTTGGGACCCTAAAAGAAAAAAAGAAAAAAAAAAAAAAAAACCTCAAGCGTTGGAGTGGGGGACTTTAATGATGGTGGGGGTGGCCGAGACGACCCCGCCCGGCTCGAGAGCTCTTCAGAGGCCCTGGGGCTGGCGGTGGCGCGGCGGGGAGTCACTTGGCTCCAACTGGAACGCGCACGTGCCCCCCCCCCCAATCCGATCTTGAACATCAAAATTTCATAATTGCTTCCTTGTCAATTGCAGCTTTCTGGAGCGGTCGCTTTAAAGGGCTCCCCCCGCCCCGCCGCCCCGCCCCCTCCATCGCAGGGGCCCCCGGTTCCTCCAAACAGCTCAATGGGAAGCAGCCCTTGACACGCGGTCCTGGGAGACGCCGCGTTTAAATCCCTTTTTCTACAGCCGAGTGACATTGTCAGATGCTAGCTTTAATTAACTTGATAATAAGACGTACACGACTCGCATTCAGGACGCCTGCTCGCTTCGCCTTGGTCCTCCGCTCCCTCCCCGCCCTGCCCGTCCCCCGCCACGACTTTGATCGCGAGTTCGAGGCTACGGGGGCGGGGATGCGGGGTGGAGAGTGCTCACGGAAAGACTTGAACCTCGGGGGCGGGGTGGGGAGCCGCTTGCTGGG